GGTGTCCCTGCCCATGGCAGGGGGGGTGGAACTCGATGATCTTCAAGGTCCTTTTCAACCTAAACCATTCTATGATTTCAAGACAGCTGCGAACAGGTAGACTCTGTCCGTGTCCAGCCCTCACCCTGGTGCCCCACAAGCTGGGACACGCTGGGAACCCCCACCCTGCTGGGCGCCCTTGGCAGCGCTGCCCCGGCTGCCCCGTTACCTTCGCAGATGAGCAGGATGTTGTTGTAGCTGAAACCAATGGGACACTCGCACCTGAAGCTGCCGATTTGGTTGATGCAGACGCCGTTGGTGCAGATAGCAGGGATCTCGCTGCACTCATCAATATCTGCACAGAGACAACAGCTCTCAGCATCCCGGGAAGGCAGCAGGGAGGAAAGCATCCCCTGGAGCTGGGAGACTGCTACCCTTATTCGTTCTAAAAAGAAGACCAGCAGGAAAGGGCCACCAGCCAAACAGTGGAGGAACTCTTGGAGGACTGATACTGGATCCTGCAGCTCCGCAGAGGTCTGCGTAGCCAACAGAGCCACACAAGACTCCAAGTCACAGGAGCCACGGGATTGCTGGCAGAGCCCGCACAGCACATGCTGGGAGGGATCCTACCCACGACATCCACCTTGTTTTCTCCGAGTGTGCCTCTGCAGTAACGTGGGCACCTACTCAGGCTCTGGGACCAGGCTGCAAAGTCCGAGGGGCCGCTGAAATATTGAGATGGCTCCAGGGTCCCCGGCTCTGTCGCTGTGCCCAGCACAATCCACCACCAGCCCTGCAGCGATACCCTCTGTCGCACTTTCTTCCTGGGAGTGGAAGACGAACTTATCTCCCTCCTCTTCAGTCCCCTGGCTGGCACTGCCACGGCCAGGTGAAGCAATGAGTCTGTTTGTCTCACAAACTACCAGCGAATCCATCTTTCAAGACCGCAAAACATCTGTAGACGGCCCATAAATCCCAGGACACTCAACAGCTCCTCTGGCTTTCCATCTCCCAAAACGCAAACCCGAAACCTTGGCTCTCCGCGGTGCCCTGCTGCCGTAGGGTGGGTGGTGCGGGCAATGTGAGCGCTGGGGCTACCACGGGTCTGGATCTACCTGGCCACTGGCCACTCTCTGTGGTCACTGGCCACCTCTCTCTCTCCCACTGGGACAGAAACCAAGGCACGGTTGCAAATGAGAGGAGGTTCGAGCAGCTGAGCCACTTAGGACATTTGAGGATCCGAGGGCTGGAGCACCTCTCCTATGAGGAGAGGCTGAGAGAGTTGGGGCTGTTCAGCCTGGAGAAGAGCAGGCTCTGGGGAGACCTTATTGCCACCTTCCAGTACCTAAAGGGGCTCCAGGAGAGCTGGGGAGGGACTTTTTACTGGGGTATGTAGTGATAGGACGAGGGGGAATGGCTATAAGCTGGAATGGACAGGTTTAGATTAAACATTAGGAAGAAGTTTTTCACTTTAAGGGTGGTGAGGCACTGGAACAGGTTGCCCAGAGAGGTTGTTGAGGCCCCATCCCTGGAGGTGTTCAAGGCCAGGCTGGACGTGGCCTTGGGCAACCTGGGCTGGTGGGAGGGGTCCCTGCCCAGGGCAGGGGGGTTGGAACTCGATGATCTTCAAGGTCCTTTCAACCTAAACCATTCTATGATTCTACGATAAGCTTGAAGGCTCAGCCAACTGCTTGCAGCCATGTCTGCCACCTCCTTTCCTTGTCTCTCCTCTGCTCAGGGCTTAATTTACTAAGGGAGGGGAAGGGAACGAGCTCACTGTGGGAAGAAAGCAGAGGGGCAGAGAGAAGACGTGGCTCCGCAGGGTGCGAGGGGCTCTACTCACCGATGGGCTTCCCTGTGTGGATGTCGATGATAAACCCGGGGGCCTGGTTCCCGCACAGGATCTGGTACTCGGCTGCAAGGGAAACACCAAGGTCACGGCCGTGCCCAGCGGGCAGAGCGGCAGTTCTCCCACCACGCGAGGAACACGGCTGGAGTGAGCGGAGAGGGGGTCTGACAGGCAGGAGGGGACGGGCACGTGCCTTGTTTTGAGTGAGACAGGTCTGATTTCTATTCTAATACTTGGGAAAACTGCACTTTTAGAAGACTCCAGTGTCTGAACTTGTGAAAATATTTACTTTACAGCCAGCCATGGTGTGTGGGTCTCAAGGTCGTGTTTTCGAGCTCGCCAGGTGTGGGGATGAGGAGGAGCAAGACCCGGGCACTTGACCCAAGCTGCCAACAGGGTTATTTCATACCATCAACGTCACATTCACTATAAATTAGAAAGTTTGCTGCGAAGCTCTCTCTCTCCCCCTTGATGGCTGCCATCCTGAGAACTTTGTGCCCCGGTGCCGGACTCCTGAGGCCTTCCCCTCCCCCTGAAGCCGCAGCGCTCGCAGTGTCCAACATTTGCTGTCCACTGCGGGAGTGCACAGCTTCTACGGATAGAATATCGTATGCGGTTAAATCTGTTTATACTTCAGCTCCCGAGTTGCCTTGCTTTTCCCTGATTCCCCTTCCCGGGTGGGGAGGGGTCACTGGGTGATAGAATGATTGTTTAAACAACATCAAATTGTTACGGGTCTCTCAAACCATAACAGCACGGTGCTCGGTTGGGAGTCGCAGGGGGCAGCACATGGGGAACCCCAAGAACACGGACAGCACCAGGCAAAGGGCTCACACACATGTACAGGCACACTCAAAGGCACGCGCGCACACATGGCACCTGCGTGCCGGTACGGACTCAGCCCTACACGCAGTGCACGGCCAGCACTCCCCACTGCATCACCTCCTCTCCGCAGACACTGCCCCGGTCCCCTGTGTCCTTCCAACGCATGTCCCCACAGCCCTCTCCCACAAGCGCTGCCCACCAGCCACTCTGTTCTCCCTTCTCCCCCTCTATTTCGGTAGCGTTCTGCCTCAAAGTGCACGAAATCGCTGGAGAAGCGAGGGGGAAGCCGTGATACGAAGATGCCCTTCCAGAAAGGGTTGACTTACGGCTGGCTGGCGTGGGGCAGGGCTCACATGGCTTGTTCCAGGCTTTGCCGATGTTGTAGGAGCAGCAGCACATCTTCTTGGTCATGTTGAAGGAGAGCTCGTTCTCACACGTGTCGTTGTAGTTGCGATAGCACACGCCCTTCCT